AAGAGTCAGGGTGGCTTCTGGGTAATACCAGATGGCTAGGCCTCAGACTGACGAAGCCTCTTGGATGAGGGGCGAAACGTTTCTTTTTAACAAAAAAACAAAGTCCAGATGACATGATTCAACCTTTTTTGTTGTTATATACCTGGATGACTGAGAAAACAAACTTTGTGGTCTACTGAAATCTTCAACCAATCAATGAGTCTACCTCTAATGAAGATATAATCTGCATATGAAGGGCTCTTCAGTCTCTTGTTGCTCACTGGGATACTTCATTTATTCAATGTATTTTTATTTTATCAACACAAACCTTAACAATCCCAACTGAGTAACCAACAATAACTTTTCCACTAACCTGATTACAATTTTAATCCTAAAACCAAGCCCAAAGTTGTAAAATCTAATTTAGCCATAGGGACAAGATACTAACACATAGCCCACAAATGGTGTTCCAGGACTGGACTTTGGTCATCATAAAAGCTTCCAATTTTGAGAACACTGGTGATTATTTTTAACTTTTTAAATCTCCTAAAATACTAAAAAAAGAAAATGTAAGAGAAAAGTAAACTTATTGATAAAGGTATCTTAAAAGAAGACAAAAACATATCTGACATAATGTAGTCAATATGAATCGGGATTAACATACAATGTGGTTTTACAGAGTTTCTTTGTCAGTATTTCAGTATTTAGCCTGGCATGTTCACAAAAACACACTCTGCTGATGTCACAATAGCATTCAGGAAATTCAAGACCTAATTCATACATTCAGAAAGCCATGTTTTCTAAATCACACAACAGGTTTAGAGTTATCTAAAATCAAATCTGACCAAATTTGTTATGTTGGCAGACAAAGGGTAATTTTAAGGGTTTAATTAAGCATTTTATCATGAAAATGGATAACTGACTCATGTGAGGCAAACAGAGGATCCATCATATTAGCTTGCAAGAGAGAAAGTTTAGAATTGACTGTCTGAATGACAAAAAGAGACAAGTGTTAGAGATTTGCACTTCCTTTTGGACAAGACTTTATTAAGTTGAGAATAAATGTCAAAGTGTGACAAAAGGTGCCTAATTAAGCAGTTTGCAGGCTGTGAGAAACTCTCAGTGGTTGTATCATTTTATCATCACATCTCACATCTTTTTTTTGTCCATGGCAGAGAAGAATCCTGTGATCATTAACAAAATGTTATGAATGAGTTCTTGAGGAAATAGTTTGCTAGGCTCTCACAAACATCAAGTATTGACTGAGCTTGTCTAAAGATGGGCCAAACTGGCTGAAGCTCCTCAAACTTTATACAAATCTGTCATGTATCAGCTTTCTGTCTGACTGGAACCTTTCCTTTCTCCATTTGTATCAAACTGCACAACGGATATTATATATATATATATATATATATATATTAGAGCTGTTAACGTGTGCGATTAATCTAAAAATAAATTTTACATAATGCAGATTAATCGCATTACTTATTTTGACCTATAAAGGCCTCTATCCTGCGGAGGTAGAACTGTCATTTCTAACCCGAATCCGGAGCCTGGCCCCGGTCCAACCCGGATTTGGCCGGGCGGTCCATAATGTGTGTGTGTTTAATGTGCGGGCCGGGCTGGTCTCGGGTTTTGATGCGTTTTTATGAATCATACAGCACAAATAAAACTAAATAAGAATGCACAATATAAAATTGTGTTAATCTACTTTTTGAGGAGGAGGCAGGTCCGACCGGCCATTTTAAAGAGGTAAAACAAGCCATGTTAAGCTCAGATGAACAACCTATCACCGCCGCGTGTGTCGTTCGATAAAATAATTAAAACCACTATGTGTTCTGAAATACAAGCTTCATAAGACTTCTGAATAACCACATTCGATAAACAAAGAGCTCCACATTAATTATGTATCCCAACTAAAAGGTGCTGTAATGAAACAAAATAAAACTGTGTCTATGACACCAAGTAGTAGCTTGGTGTGGGAGTGTGTTGTTCGGTGGGTGCGGGAGCTGAAGGGGGAGTGGGGGAAGAAGTGACAAAGAGCCACTTTGTGAAAAACGTAATAAATCACCTTCTCACTACAGATGATGTGAATCACCACATAAAAACTATATTAAGCTCTTCAAAATGAGGGCGAGCAGTTATTCAACAGGACGTCAAATATAAAAGCGGGAGATAAATGCTGAATGAAAGTCAGCCCTTCTTATTTTGAAGTTTGCAGTAAAAAACAACTTTTAAATTATCTTTAGGTTTTGCTAAAGTTACCCTTGCAGAGGATTCAACTTTTCTTCCAGGTGTTTTGCCAAGCGTGATCATACGCTTATGCGTTCAACTCCTTGCCCAAACAGATGTTTTATGCTGCTTAAAATGTAAATGAATTTGATTTGGTGATGTTAAACATGTTCTGAAGTAACGAGGAGTCATGCCTCTGAACAGATTCAGTTCTTGCTTATTCATGAGTGTCTGGCTCCGAGCCAACCCCTAGTATGACTCATCAATTTATTTTATTGATTTATTTCTCTAAACCATTTAGCACAAACCAAGTCATTCATTTATTTATCCTTCATTGTTCTGAACTCCTGAGGATAGACTGGGTTTATGTAAATAACATATCTCTTTCAGAATTTTAAGATTTGTGTTCTGTAATCTTGCGTTTTAGTGGTATTGACTTCACAGCATTAATTGCTGTCGCCAGCTTCTTCCGCTGTAGTGATTAATAACAAAAAGGTGTGCAAGGATACATCTAAAGTCCCGTCATCTGTATGCAGAGAACTGCAGGAGTGCATGTTTTGATTTTTGGAATCAATGAGAAAGAAACAATACTTGGATTTAAGAGGATTTAGTTCCTGACACGAGCGTTTCATTGCTTTGGTCTCATGCTGTCAAACTAAAAGCCTTTTTTCAGTGTTTTACCTTCCCTAACCCCTATCATAGGGTGCATAGTCAGCTTAGTCTCCAGCTGATGTAAAATATCTGAACCCCAAGTCTTAAATGAGGACAAAAACTGGCATTAAAAAGTCAAGTCCAGTGGCGATTTTAGCCTCTTTTTGGGGGTGCTCAAGAACCCCTAAACTTTAAATCAGCACCCCTGAAAAATGAAGTAAACATTAAAAAAAAAAAAAAAATTGGGCGTTTCTGAGTTTGGGTTCTGTTTATTCCATTTATGATTCAATGCAACACGCTAGACAAATTTAAGATCATTGTAATACCTGTTCTATGTCGTATAAGCTTCGCCCTTTAAGGCCTTCGCTTTAGTGGGTTTATCCCGTTATGCAGAGCATAAGCACTGAAAAAATTAGTCCACGCCCACCTGCTGTGTGGGCCCCACCCGGTCCGTATAAATTACGTTAAGAGCGGGAAATCGGCTCCCATTTTTTCTTCAGCGAGCTAATATAGCACTGTCAGAAGAACAAAGAAGATAAATTGTGTAAATGACCAACCTTGTGAAGGATGCTTGGCCCGGCAGTCGACCTCCGGTCGTCCGGTGAGTTCTCCTCCCCGAGGAGAAGATGACAGCAGTCTTATTCCAAGGTAAGCGTCGGGGAACATTTCCCAGTGACAGGTCACTACACGCTGGACAACGCCATCTTGTGTTTTTCCTCTTATCGCCGACCCTCGGGGCGAACCGGATGGTTCCTCCGGGGCAAGGCGTGCTCAGCTGCAGCCCCCGCTGCTCATTCCCTCCTGGGGAGCGTAGTGTAGGTGGAGGGGGGCTGAGTGAATGCTCACCCCATCCCACCTCGTTTCGCATCGGCGATCACACCGCTCCCGGCCGACAGCGCCCTCAGGGGTTGCCCGGCGGAACCCAGGAGGAGGCTGACATGAAGGGACCCCTTTTTTCTACGCCCCTCGCCTTTTCCCGCCAGTTCGGATGATCGGCGGAAAGGTTGTTTTTCACTGGGCTCCACTGTGGCTCACCGTCTTGATCCATACGGCCTCACGTTCCAACAGGACGTTCGACGGGCGAGGCCGCAGACGGTTCTTTCCTGGTAGATTAGAGGAGTCGGCCCCCAGTCCGCTCCCATCACCAGAGTTGAGGGATTCACCGAGCGGGGCTATTCCTCGGTAACCCCCCCTGGAGCCAAGCCTCGCGGAAGCTTCCGGAGCGAAGCTGCCCAGGTCGGAGCAGCGTCCCGTCCCTCCGGAGGAACCAGACGGCGACCACGCTCTCCAATCGAGCCCACCGACGTGTTTTCAGGCAGCCGCAGTTAGCAACAACGTGCGCTGCTAGCATATAGCATGTCCAAGGGACTGAAGGCCGCAGACCTGCCTTGGAGACGAAGAACTCCCTCTGTAAGGCAGCTGACGCCAGCTCAACATGTGTGCCTCTCCCACGGTTTGCCTGTCGAGGACTGCAGCGCGGATGATGATGATCCATCGACCCACCTGGCTTCGTTACTCCCCTCGCTGCCGGAGAATCTGCACAAGACCTGATGAAGCCATCGCGGACGCGCTGTTCAGAGCAGCTTCAAACCATGCTGGCGAAGTGAAACAGTCGGAGGAGGTGCCAGAAGCTGTGCGCCACCTCATCAAGCCGCGCGGCTCATCTCGTCCCCCAGCCCGCTGGAGAGACCGTCGAGAGCAGAGGCAGAAACATCGATGCTCCACGGCAGCAGCAGCTTCGTCTCGCCCAGCTCCACCACCAGCCCCGCCCGCCAGAGACCACCCCTCCTCAGTCCGGCAGCCTGCACTTCAGCGTTTCCCCAGAGATCGCCTGCAGACGGCGCTCGGGGCAAACAAACCGCAGAGCTCTCGAGGGAGAAGATTTAAGAAATGACGGTCTGCGGAGGATGTGTGTATAAATGACACAGGAATTGAAATAAATGATTTTTCAAAAATCAAAATGCCTGTTTTTAGCCAGTCTGTAAGTTCGGATGAGCTCACAGCCGCTACACACACATCCTCCACACAGAGAGAGCCGGTGTCCTTAAATAAAGGTTTTTTAAATCCACCGTCGCTCCATCACATGCCCAGACGCTCACGTGACACCACGGTAAGCGAAATAATTTGTTGTCAATCAGAACCGCACGATCACCACCCAAGCGGTGTTAAACGCGCACCCGAGCGAGGCAAACAGCCTCCATCCAAACGGCGCTGTGTTGATGATGCACGCACAGCTGCCCGGCACTCACCGGCTCACATCGGGATAAATGTGGGACCGCAGGCCGGGTCCGGTGGAGGTCCCCGCTCTCAGCGAAAACAACACACGCCTCTCCTGAGCGAACGCGAGCGGCCGTCATCCATCGCGTCTCAGCGATCAGCAGCTCACGGCGGCATAAGCGTGAGACAGCTGAATGAATCCAATGACGGGCCCCGCCCTCAGCGAGAGCGGCGCGCGTCCCTCCAGAGAAAACGTGCGCTCCCGCGAGGCTCACAACCTTCACTTCGACAGCACGGCGTTGATGACGTCACGCCCTCCACCTCCCAACGTTCGCACAGCGACGTTAAACGTGCAGCCTCACGACGTCATCAGCTGACACACGCCTCGCCTCAGCACACACCGCCCCGCCCGGACATGAAGGTTGGTCCGCGATCCAGACACAGCGCACGGGCGCGCGCAGATCAGCCCTTTCGAGGAAGCCTCGCCTTGGGTCACGCGGAAAACATTTCCGCGACGCATGACGGCGGTCGAGGCGGAGGTTTGGATGACATCCGTTCAAAACACGGCACATCATTTAAACGCACGTCCACTCCACGAACGTTACGCAGAGTGGCAAAAAACCTGTTCGCCGGACAGATGGATGGACAGAGTGTTATGCAAGGGTTACACGCTGCAGTTTGCAACCCGACCCCCTCCGTTCGGAGGAGTTATAGAGACGGTCCTGTCATCACCAGACCAAGTCTCAGCCTTAAATGCAGAAGTCCAAGAGCTTCTGATAAAAGGTGTAATCTCAAGAGTTCCCAACGAAGAGGAAAACACAGGGTTTTACTCACGCTACTTCCTGGTCCCCAAAAGGACCGGAGGGATGAGACCGATTCTGGATCTGTCAGCTTTCAACAAAGCAATCATGAACAGACCTTTTCACATGTTGACGAACAGACAGCTGTTGGACAACATCCAGAAAAACGACTGGTTTGTTTCCATCGATCTAAAAGATGCTTATTTTCACATACCGATCATCCCAAAACACAGAAAATTTCTGCGTTTCGCCTTTCAAGGGATGAAGTACCAGTACAACAGGCTGCCTTTCGGGTATTCCCTCGCGCCTCGTACGTTCTCAAAGTGTGTGGAGACAGCCCTGCATCCACAGAGCAGGGATGAGAGTTTTGTTTTACCTGGACGACTTGCTGCTCCTGTCTCACTCCAGACAGGAAGCGCTGATACAGGCTCAGGTGTTGGCATCACACCTGTTAAATCTGGGCTTCGCCATAAATTGGAAGAAAAGCTCGATTTTCCCGGCCCAGACAATTGTTTATCTGGGAGTGGAATTAAATTCAATTACCATGACGGCTCGCTTATCACAAACAA